CTAGTGCACGCACCCCGCAGAGGTTGTTTGCCGCCCACAGGCAGGTGGAAGGAAACCAACTGGATAGGGAAGGATATGTTGGATAGGAAATGGGGCTATGATCACCTCCCTGCTTCCATTGAATGGTTTCATCAAGTCTCTTTCATAGATCAAATCGGGCCGAGGGAGCTTCTTGATGACTTCTCTCCCCGACAAAAGCCCAGTCCGAAGAGTCAAGGGACCACCCCTTATGGAGAAGAAACGGTACTTTTGAAACCACAGCCATCTCCGAAGAAAAGGGCTCAAGATAAGAACAAGAAAGGAAAGGGGAATGGAAGAAATGTCCGCACATGCCCCCCCAAAAAGAGAGCGAGCATGATCTACCACGCCGAAGGGGGAAGCAAACAAGGTACTATGTTGGAGATGGGTGAGGGGAGAATGTGCCAAACAGGGCAGTTGCAGGTCGTTCCATGATCGCGAAGGCGACAAAATTCGAGTTCTTGATCTTGCTGTATAAGCAGTCACCCAACGCATCCTCATTCGGAGCGTCTCCCGGTGTCATATTGCGACACCTGGGAATAGCAACAACCTGCTGATTTTCGAGCTCCAATTTCTCCAATTCATTTGTTGATGCGTTTGGTCGACACTGTGTTCGACCTCAGGATTTGTCATCATTAGTTCTTCCGTTCTGGCACGCAATTCCCTGGGTCCTTCATAATTTTCGCCAAAAACGAGCATTATCAAGGAGACCGCGGCGGGATCACGTGGGTGGCTCACGGCTCCCATCGAGACGCCGCCTCCTCTTCTGATGCCGCCGGGGAGAAGTGGAACTTCAAGCTGTGAAACTCAAGTACTTGAGGCATGAGATCGGCGAAAATGCTTTGTGACATGACTCAGTACATGACCCGTGGCGAATATCACGCCGGTCTGCTGCACACAAACAAATGTAGAGATGTGTGGGCAATGCAACCACCTGGGAAGAAACATTGTTGATTTCCAACGTGAAGATGAAGGAGTTACATATCCGAGCGCAGAACTCGACAGAAGACTCATCATTGCCCAAAAGGGACCAACAGATAATACCTCCGAGCCCCCCTTGAGCAGAAGGATGGTGGATGCTGCTTCATGTCCCCTCTGTTAGTCGCCAATGCAGATCTGGGTGGTGTAGATTTGGACGCGCCTCTGGGCCTCGGGGTTCTTATCGTTCTACGTAAAGGCATCGTCAGTTTTGAGGCACAGAATCCACTTGAGATTCGCTGCTGTTCATGGTCGGTTCAGGTGTCGACTGTGAAGTGGCACCTGGTGCCGCAGCAAACGAATAGGTCGCTCCACTCATACCATCTGTGCCCGACATCTCAGAGAGTTGGCCGTTGAGACCAATTGGTCTAGGCAAAATGTCCCTCTTCAAGGTCCAGATAGTTAGTCTCTTATCTCAGCTCGTAGCAGAACGCTACGGCTGAGAACTTGCGGGTAGGCGGAGTGTCCGTCGACCACAAATCCCTCGCTTCTTTTACACCTTTGAGCCAAATGTGCGATCATTATGTACAGTTGTTGCTGTTGTATGAGTTGCTGTTGGTTTCAGAGCACGCTGACCAGCACAAAGGAAGCACGGAACGATTTGTCCTTTACGTTGACGACACCACCGCCTTTTCAAATTCATTAAGCACCTTGATGTACTCGAATCCGCAACCAGCTTTGCTTTCGTTCGGCCACGCCCTTAGTTTCTTGCCTTCGTGCCTTCCGAGCATTCGTGTTTTCTCCCTGTAAATTGTTCCTGCATTGGGGACCAACGAAGTTGGGCCTCGGTGTCAGATCATTGCAAACAGGAAAGAAAATGTTTTATATAATACATGATATGTTTTATGCATGTCACCCTTGTGCTGATAACATGTTTTAATCTCTTCAGGTGCAAAGATACACAAAAAATACTTCTGATCTTTTCAAGGAATTCTTTCAACCAAGAAATCTTGTACTCACGGGCGCGCGCAAATCTCATCTCAACTCTGAAACGCACGCTGAAAAACCCGCCTTCCTCTATAAAACAAGGGTCTGATGTCCCCGGTCATAAAACGTTTATAATATGCCTTGACCCTGAGCATTTCATAGAGGATACTGTCATATCCATGTTATCGCCACTGCCTATTGGGTATCTGGATTGTTTGACAACCACAAGGCTTACACCCACCACTGCTGCAGAACGAAATGTCCAGTTGTACAAGGGACAATATGGTGCATAGGCCTGGGACAGACAGACCAGCGGTGGGGCGGGAGGGCGATCCAGGCGTCTCAGGGGCCTGTCAGGGGCCCAGCCGCTCGTGCGATCAAAGCAAAGTCGCTTATCTACAACATGAGGGTCCAAAGCACACGTTGCAGAGTTCATTGACTGGAATTTCCTTCAGAACCTTTGCCATCGCCGCCAAAACGAGCATGCAAGTACAGTCAGTCGCTCTTCGTCGACGACTGAGCCCAATCTGCAACAGACCGCTCGGGCTCCCATCGGTCGTGTGGACGCCCGAGCGAGCGTTGTGGAGCGAAATTCATCGTTTGGAGGTAAACCTTTCTTGTTCTCACAGCGAAGCAATTCCAACATGGTTATCAATGAGAACATGAAGGTTCGGCAGTTCATAGCATTTCAACACAGGCCAAAAGTGTTTATCCCAACATGGGCCACGGACTCCCACGACAGTCTCACGGACTCCCGGAAAGTGGCGAAGCAGCATCCACGCTATATAGGCCTCCCCCTAGTAGCTATAGCCTCCCACCTAAAAGCGTCCTTGCTCCTAGTAGCGATGCCCCTTGTTACTAGTAGTGATGCCCTTGCTACTAGTAGCAAGGGCTACTAGTAGTGATGCCCTTGCTACTAGTAGCTTCTTGCTACCGGCTTAAGCCAGAAGTATATAATTCTAGCTGTACTAGCTTCTGGCAGCTACGAATGACAGCCTGGAACACAAGTGTGCTGGCGTGCTCCCTCCTTTCTAAAACCATTTCAGCGGTCAAACAGACTCTAACGATTCAATGCGCCATTCTACCGTTCTGCCGGACTTCTGCGAGTCCCGAAAAATTCCAACCGGCCCATCCAAGAGACGGAAAACCGCTATAAGCTGCGCCCAGTCAACCCAAAAATAGGCCATAGGATGCCGTATGCCCAGTCAGAATGGAAAGCAACGGAAACACCCCTTTCAAGCCAAACATCGGAGCAGAAGAACCTTGTATTTTTAAGCCACCGCGCGTTGGCGACTTGCTACTGAGCAGCTCGCCAAAGAAACAACGCCAAGCACAACGTTTGAATTCACCAACACCAACCCAACCTTTCTCCCCACAAAGTTGGAATTTCTGCTGGTTGCAGTGTGGCAAGCCAGCGCAAGCCAGACGTTTCATGCGTGCGGCAATGTCATAGTCATACGGCAAAAGAATTTCGAACGTGCCGTGGTCCAAATTGATTTCGTGCGTGGACAAATTGTTACAACAATGTTGCACTGGCTCGCTCTGACACACCAGTTAAGCATACAATCATATACAATCATACAATTAATCCCACAAACGCAGTATGCAGCATGCATCCTTCAGATTCCTTCAGTCTGTTGGGAGGAGAAAGGACACCCAGGTTTCGCTTGTCTGCATGGCAGTGTTGGCAATGCCTGACTCTATATCATGCACTGTGCCGCTATGTCTTTTTAGCGCAAAAACTTCGATTGCCTGGCACAACACACTTGAGGCCAGAGGGGGTGAACGAAAGCTAGCCGGGCTTCCGGTGGTCTGCTGCTGGTGCTGCTGCTGCTGGTGCTGCTGCTGCCGCTGCTGCGCTGGGCGCTGCTGCGCTGGGTGCTCTGCAGGCACCGGGTCGTCTGCTGCTGCTGCTGCTGTTGCTGCCGCTGGGTGGTCTGCTGCTGCTGCTGGTGCTGCTGCTGCTGCTGCTGCTGCCGCTGGGTGGTCTGCTGCTGCTGCTGGTGCTGCTGCTGCTGCCGCTGCTGCGCTGGGCGCTGCAGATGCTTGGTGTGCTGCAGCTGCTTGGTGGTCCCGCTCACCGCGCGCAGGGGGGAGTCGAACCGCGGGGGGGGG